ATATACACACACATATTTACCTGCTCTGCAGCCTAGCAATTAAATGATGCAATGATGCTGGTCTTGAGGTGGGAGAGACAATGGCAGAGCCAGTGTGATGCCACATCTGATAGAGTCAGCTTCTGTCAACCTGACTGACCCAAGGTATGTGCTGCAAGGGTACAGCTGTCTCACTTCTGGACATCACTGGGACTAATCTGGGGTTCTCTGATCCTCTGCCATTATCTACTGCTTTCAAAGCTTCCTGTACAGCAAAGCCCAGACCTCTGGAGTAAACAACTGGGAAAAAAAGGCAAGAGCCCAAGTATAGCTTCTCAGACATGGATGTGATACTCTCTACCTTCCAGTGGAGTCAGAGTCTTCATCTGTGCAAGTTAGAGGCTACTTGGGAAATGCTGACAGCAGTGGGATACAAGATCTGTGTGTACAGTTATGCTGTCCCTACTGACATCACAATATCCCCTCTATCTCTCTCTTCCTGGGATTGGAGAGCAAAGTGAGAACACTGCTGGATGTTCAGAAAGAAGCACTAAGAATTAGAATTATAATAATAATATAGATTAATTGTTAGAATTATTTATTTGCAGCTAAGATACTTTATCTTAAAAAGGGTTTGTGGAAAAACCAGAAGTCCTTACAAATAACTACAAAACCAGACAGAACTAGTCTTGTATAGACAAGGAGAACCAAGGGTGATATCAGACTGGACCACCAGTGCAGTTATTTTCTTTCCACCCTTATGCTGTTTCTTCATCCTGTACTTCCACGTTCTGCTTGTTGCATTCTGTTGCACTTTATATTAAATTAGTCTTTGGTGCTGTGGTGGGATGATTCAGGTACCTTATGCTCATCAAAGTCAAGAAACCTTCTGGTGTCTTTATCACCAGGAGGGTTATCATCAGAGCAGCAGTGAGCTCTGTCAGGCATTTGGAGGAAGTCATAGGTTCCCTGTGCAACAGTTGTTGAAAATGCCGTTTTGTAATGGATTGGAAGGGTGGTGCTAACAGGGCACAAACAGTAGGATTTAACTAATTGAGCTTTTAGTAGAAAAGTTGCTTTGCCAGTTAAAAGGTTAAAGTAAAAAGAGTTAAAAGTAAGAGGTGAAAGCTTCAACAAAGGGGCATCTGGATCTGCACTGGAAGATGTGGTTTAGGGGTTACAGTGGAGTGACAGGGTAAGAGTTGGAGTTGATGATCTTGAAGGTCTCTTCCAACCTCCATGATTCCATGGTTCTAAAAGTTATTATGAGTTTGATCTCGACAGTGGCATATAAATGTACCTCTAGGATAGGAAATTTGCATTTTACAGTAGAAGTAACAAAACCTCGTGGATCCCTTCCAGTTCCTGATTCTATTATTGTATTGGAGCTGGTCTGTTCCACAGAAACATGTCATATCTCTCAGGTTGCTTCTTAGTTTAACTATGAAAAGCATATACATAAATCCCATAAAATGCACATTTCGGTGTCGGAGCACAGAGATTTTAAGAACTAGAGAAAACAGTGTCCTTCAGTGATCAAATGTGATTAGATTGTGAGAAGATTCATTTAAAAATTTAGCAAGGTGAATGGAAATCTACAGACCAGAAAATAAGAAATGTGAATTAACTCCAATTTCTGATTTGTGTTCATGTTGATTATGCTTTAGCATTTATTCACAGCTGTTGTTTCCATGTATGCTGGATAATAATTGTGTCAGACATATGGCCTACACAGAAGACCTTCCACTTGAGGTCAAAGTCTTGACTCCTAGTAGCTGAGAGAATAGGGAATAGTAACCTACCTTCCTTTTTCAATGAGGATTGACTGTATAAATACTCCAAAACAGACTCCTGCAGTGGAATTCCTTACCCTTTTTGAACCATGTTGTAATAGTGGAAAGAGTAGGGAGCATAAAGAACCAAATTCAGTCACAATGAAGATAAGCAGCATATTAATGGCAATTGTAAAGATTAAACCCACTGACAGGCTCACCCTTCTGATCTGTTCCTGTGTTTTTTAATTATGCCGCATTTAGTAAAAAAGGTTGATGCACTTCTTGGCATCCAGTTTTGTGTTGGGTAGTTCTGCTGAAGGGGTCAGGTGTGTATTAGTGGAAGAAACTGGACAAGAATGTACAGGCTCGCCAAGAAAGAAGCAGCAGTTGGAAAAGTAAAAAATGCAGATCAGGAAGAACTGAACCAAGAAACTAAAGAAATAGATTTATTTTTTTTTGCTCCATAGTTTAGAAATAACCAAGGTGGTGGTGTCTGATCTACTGTCAGTTCATTGTCATAAACTGTGTGAGAGAATAGAATTTACCAGATGGTCTGAGTCACAGTGCAGAAACATTTTTCTTTTTAGGTAAATTTGAAAAGCAGAAGAGGAATTTTGGGTGGTTTAAGGATGAGTTTGCTGTTAAATGACAAGGATGATACCTACAGAGAACTACACCAGGATAGTGGTTGGTTTTGCAGGGCTCAAAAGATGATGGAGCAAGTCTTTCACTGCCCACTGTATTTGCCAGAAGATGCAGCAGGACAGAACACTTGACTGAAAGTTTGGGTTGATAATTTATGTCACATTAGTGTTATCTGTGTTTGTGTGTGCTTAGGGGTGGGTTGGGAAGTCATTTTTTTCAGGGGAAAAAAATGGATTGCCTGTTCTTGCTTGTCTCTGCTTATCAATTACTGATAACTGTGCTTCAGTTACTGATAGTAATGCTTCTTTGACTTGTGTCACATACTTTCTGCTTTTCAGTATTTTCCTACAGACTTGAGGAATAGAGAGGGAAATGCAGTATCACTGAACCTTATTTTCCACTGGTTCAGCACTGTCTAGGATTAAGTTATTATATCCTTTTTAACTACACTGTGGTACCACAACCATTGATGAGTTACTAGTTTGTAGTTTAAAACTAGCAGTATACTTTGTGCCTTTCATGTATGTTGTACTGTGTTCTTCCTGTGCAGTACTTTGCAGAGGAATGCAAGCTCCAAAGACTGGAAATACAAAAAAGGCAGAACCATTCTCCTGGCTTTCAGTGGCAAAGCCAAAGACCAGTTGTGATATTATCAATGAAGCCAGAAGTGTTCTCCGAACAGTAAGAACTCGGAGACCATTTACACCTACAGGCAATCAAAGGAAACTTTTTGGATCTGGATCCTCAGGAGCTCCTCAAAACAGACCCCCTTCAGTGTTTAGGTACTATGGCTTTAAGATTTTTTCAAATATCCTTTAGCAACAAGAGATTTGATTCTGTAATTTTGTTTCTGGTGATTATTTTGCCTGTGTTAATCTGTATTTCTAATCACATCCTTTGCCTTCTTCTAATGATCCTTACTGTTGGTGTTAATCTACATGTGCAGGAAGCTCCTGGATTAGAGCTACCAGAGGCAGTCATTACATTAGTTTTCTATAGGGTGAATAGTATAGGAAAACGGTCTGTTACTTGCCTTTTCCTTAAGACAGTTGAATGCTTTTACTTGAGATAGTCTTCAGTTTGATTCCTAGAACATGTGAAAGCTTACTTGTTTCCACATAACCTGTATGCTAGATCTTTTTTCAGAGCCTGCTCAGATATTTTAAATGTAATATTATAGGTCTTGAAGTTTGAAATGCTAATTTTCAACCAAAGTTTATACTACTTCAGAATTATAATGGAATTTTGCTGTGTTCTACAATTCACAGAGCTCAATAGATCTGTCTCTTGTGACAAAAGAGAAAAAAAATTATATAGTGGGCTGTTTTCATCCATTTTCCCAGTCATTTTTATTAGCTCTCCTTAGGTACCAGTTCTGTAATGACTGCAGAGAGGAGATATGAGTTGTATCTGTACTGTTAGGTGTCAGGCATGGCAGAAAGGATGCTGAAACATGTTTAGCCATAAAAGCCAGTCAGTATCCCTAAAATCCAGCCAGTGTTCATGATGTTTTCATGGCAGTGTGACTGCAGGCACTCAATGTATGTGAAATTCCTTACTGTGTAGTGTTGTGCAAGAAAGCAAGAGACTGAGAATGCCTTAGCTGTTGGTGATCAGGTAATGAGGTCCCTCTGGCTGACATCCATTCTCTCTGTGCTTCTCCTTTGTGTGGGAAGAATCATGCTCATGCCAACACAAGCTTGTGCTTTCTGCCCTGTAGTGTTCAGCAGCTTGTGTCAAATAGCTTGAGCAATGACACAATTGGGTTTGTGCAGGAATTTAGGCTTATGTTAGAAAGTTGTTATAGATGTGTATGAAATGAAGAGGTGATAGAGTTGTATCACAGGCAGTCTTGTAATTCTTCCTTATTCTGCTGGATTCCCAGGTATCAAAGTTAAATAGCATTAGAAATGAGATAGTGCTCTCTCACTCTTCCTTTCTTCTTTCTTTTCCTCATATTTGTTGGCAAAGGGAAGAAGCATGCAGTTAAACAAAACAACTGACCACAAAACACCATGTCTGCTTTATTCATATTATGTTTATTTTCTTTGTTAGTCTTCATGCATCCAGTTTTGATTTGACTGAATCAAGGCCAGTGTCTAGTGCTCGTCTTAGCCCACTGGATCATGTGAGTACTCTGGAAATAACTCATGCAGTACTGACATAAAAACATGTTTATCAATAGTGGTGGGAAAAGATATAGTTGGAGAGAAATGGAGATCTGTTGTAATGTTAGCCTGAGACTTACTGAGTCAGTTTTGTCAATTTTTTCCCCGAAGTAAATCTGAAAGTAATTCAGACTGTTTAAATATTGCTGTGATACATTATAATTCTAAGTGACATTAACAAGAATCTGAAGACAGATACTTGAGTCACCTTTCTTGTGAAAGTTTACTAAAATGGAAAAAGTTCAGGACCATCAGCATGAGACAACATGTCCTTGCCATTAAGAAAGTGGCTGATGGTATCTGGGGCTGCATTAGGAGGAGTGTTGCCAGCAGGTTGAGGGAACTGATCTCTTCCCTCTGCTCAGCACTGGTAAGGTCACACCTGGAGTGCTGAATCCAGTTCTAGGCCTCTCAGTACAAGAAAGACATAAAGCTACTGGAGAGAGCCTGATGAAGGGACAGAGAGAGATGAGAACATTCAGCCTGGAGAAAATCAGGGAGTATCTTATCCATGTATATAAATGCCTGAAGAGAGGGTCCAAAGAGGGTGGGGCCAACCTCTTTTCAGTGAAAGGGCCAGAAGCAGTGGGCACAAACTGGGACACAGGAGGTTCCCTGTGAACTTCAGGAAACACTTTTCCAACTGTGAAGCTGTCAAAGCCCTGGCATAGGTTGCCCAGAGATCCTCAAAAGCTTCCTGGACATGATCCTGGGCAACTGCGTCTAGGTTGGCCCTACTTGAGCAGGGGGTTGGACCTCCAGAGGTCCCTCCCAACCACTTCTATTCTGTGGTTCTGTGATCAATAACTAGGTGGTTGTGTTTTCTGTTTGACTTACCCATCTATAAAATGTAGTGACTGTGGTTTATTTCAAAACAAATAGAGATACTTTGAGAATCCCTTTTCTCTCTCTGTGGAACACTTATAAATTGAGAACAAGTGTATCTTCTCTTTCAAGTTTTGTTTTTATTTTAATATTTCCTCTTTAAATATAATATTAAATCACACTCATTTGTTTTTAACCTGAGAGAACAGAGCATGCTACAATAGCTAAGTAAACTTGCTGTATACATTGCTTCTTCAAGACAGTAATCTACATGTAGCATTCTTTAGGAAATGAGGGGGAAAAATCAAGAAATGTTATACTTCTATAATTTCAATCAGGTAATGTATTTATATGAATCAAGTTAAAAATTCTGACCATGCTTCTATTTAGATTAAATATACCTACAGTTGGATTTAAGTACTGGTGTTAAATGTTCATTTATTTTGTGTGTGAGAGTGCAAAAAAATTTAGAGAAAACTACTGACCAATGCAAAAACTGCCTTTCTTAGCTTTAGCAGTGTAGAGAAGTTGGTACACTGTAAATGAAGAACTTGTATTAGTCATGGTGGTGGTGAGGAGTGGGTCTCACCTCTTGGCTGTCTTCAGCTAATGTTGTGGAGATTTCTAATGGATCAGCTGGAGACTTCATAGTGGATTCTTAATTGTAAGGCAATTGGTAGAGAACCTTTATCTTACAGGTCAATGTGTTTGTGCAGGACAAGGGCACAACAAGTGCTTTGTACTAGAGGTTCAGGAGCTTGGTCACATCCTCTAAGGTGCAAGATACTGGCACAAATAGAAATAGGACTTGTATGTTTCTGGATCTGCATGATTTGTCTCAATGTGATAGGAAGTTGTACATGTGACCCATGAACACATCTGAAGTGTTTTAGAAGTACTATTTTATTGCTCAAAAACAAGTCAAAGAATAGATGTGTACCTCTAGCATTGCTAGCACATGTCTTTGGCACAACATTTTCTTTGACAAATAAGCATACTGCAGATGTAGTTAAATGAGAATTTATGAGGAGAATAAATAATTCTGAGTTGTTCAGCTCAAGCTAGTTTTTGTTTTCTGCACCTCTGAATGTTTGCTTACAAATGGCTTTTTGTGGTGGTAATGGTATAGATACCTGTTTTGTTTGGTATCATTAGATCCTGGATATGAAAATTTCTTAATGAGCAAGCCTTTGTAATTTCTATTCTGTTCTGAACTTAGCCCTTTGTTATAAATCATGTGGGTTTCTTTTTTTTCTTTTAATTTTTGCTTATATGAAAATGAAATTATCTGTGCTTTTATTTAAAAGTCGTCTTTATCTTTGTCACAGAAACCAATGCTAATCACTTCCACAAAAGATGAAGATTCTTCTGTTTTCCTTCCAAAACCTCCTGCTGATGCTGCAGAGGTTGGAAGAGTCAGCAGCACTTGGGCAGGTTTATTTAGAACAGCTTCTCTGGGGAATTTATTTTCTGCTAAAGTGGTTCCTCGAGATCAGAGTAAGAATGTTTTGATACATATTATTTCCTAGAAATACAACTGCATGACAGGCTTTGATATTGTTAATTGCTTGAATTATTATATTAAAGGACTTGCAGGTCCTTTCAGTGTAAGTTTAGAAAAGTATTTAAATGGCTTTAAGGCAGTTTTGAAACTGTGAGTTCCAAAAATGGTGCTGGCTTTCACTTCTGAAAGCAAGTTGAAAGCTGCTCAGGTGCCTCTTTTTCCTATAGGTGTCTAAGTAATGGAATTTTGCTGAAAGTTTTCTTCAATGGGTAAAATTAGCATTAAATGCTGACATGTTTAAAGAGATAATGAGATGCCATCATCTAAGGAGATTCCCTGATGGATTATTGAGCATAAAAGGAGGAATAAAAAGGAATGATATGTCTTGACAGGCCTCCAACTACATTGTATTTGTTGTCAAGAGTTTCATTAGTGGAGACTTAATAAAGGTCACTAAATGTGGGATTTAAAAGTAATTTTCTTGCAGATAGGAAATGGCTTCTTGGCTTCCTACACATTGACTCATAATGAAACGTGCTGGGGCTGTCTTTAATGAAGGCTCATTTGTAATAATGACAATTCTTACATTGTCTGGGATTATTGCTTTACGTGTTAAACTGAGCATCTCACTTTTTAGCTTACTGTTAAATAAGTTTTACACAAGTACTAAACTTTGCTTCATTATTATGTACTTACCCTATAAATATATCCTTTATGTAATGAATCCCTATATGCAGTTAAATCCATTAGCCTTAATAAGTTGATGCTACTAATTGAAGAAGTTAAGAACCTAATGTAGTTGTAGTCTGAGTTGGTCTCTTCTCCCCCTTGGGGATAATGCAAATGTTTACATGAGGTTTTCTGTGGAGGTTCTTATCATGTGTATATAGCAAGGTACAAGATTAACAGCTGCCTTTGCCTTGGGTTCCTCCATAATACTCAGGTTCTGAAATGCAATCACTACTTTCACAAGCTGCAATCCACCTGTCTGTAAGAGGGAAATAAAAAATGGATGTAATATTAAAACACAAAAGTGAAAGACTTTTAGAAATGCTGTTCATAAGAAGACAATGACTAAATAGTCTTAAGCTTTTTCACCTTTCCAACTGATGCGAGCAAATTTTGGTAATGTAACATAACAAACAATAACTAATTTTGAGCTCTCTTGTGTGTGTGTTGTGTAAGAACATTCCACAAAATGTGTTCTCTTTGACTCTCAGATGAAGAAAAGCTAGATTCTGAAGAACCAGCTATGATGGTGAATAGTCTTGGCAGTAGTAGTAACTGCTTAGCAGAGCAAAGGTCCTACACATCATTTAATGATGAAAGTAAACAATTACTGCATAATAAGCATATCAGCAGATCAGGGAGTGAAGACTTCACCAAAGGGACAGCAGGAAAATGTTTATTTCAACTGAGAGGAGAAAGGTTAGTATTGGTCAGGTATGGTAATGTGCATGTTCCTCACAACCCTCTTCCTAGATACTCAGTTGTGCAAGTATCAAACCAGAATTTTCAAGTTTAAATTCAATGTACTTGCTTTTGCCATTCAATCCTGTTGTTCTAAGGTGCTATACATTCTTCCTTTAGCTCAACAGGTGAGTAGAGCCATGTACTTGAGTCAGAGATGATTTTTGCCAGTGCTGCATGTACTGCATTATACCCTTGCACCAAAGATTGCTAACACCACTTAGGTACTGCTATGCCTTGGAGTACCAGACATGCCTGCAGTTCTGTAATATGCCCAAAGATAGTACAAAATGGTTTCCTTTTAGCAGAGGACAAAGATCCCTCATCTGTATCAGCCCAAGCAGTTCATGCTATCGTATGATGGAATGGCTGTAAATAATCTCAACTGCTCTCATACATTCCAACTCAGTGCTAAGACTTATACCAATGACCACATGGACCCAGTATTTGATACTATATGAGTCAAGCAGACCTTGATCTGTGACCTTGTCTGAGTTCAGAGATGTCATTCTTCATCTGACGAGCAGCTGACATGGATCACAAACCTAGCCTTCTGTGTAGTTTGTTGAGTTTGGTCTTCATAGTAGTCATATATAAAAGGCACTAGTACTATAGAATCATTGCAGTAGGAGAGTTTTGGCATTTTTTGTCAGTAGAATGTGCTTATAGGTAGTAGGTGATTACAAGGATTAGATTGCATCTGGTTCTGTGTCATAAATACTTGAGGCATCTTGTATGAAGTTAGAAGATATTTTCTATTTAAAGTACATTGTATTCAGGAGTAATAGGATGAAGGCTTAAAGGAATGTGAAAACATTTACTACCTAGAGTCCTGTCATTCCCCACATGAAACTGTTGTGTCAGCCTCAGTTCTGTATCCCAGGGATTTAAAATCTTTGCAGGAATTAAGCAACAGGATTGTAGAAATAGTACACTTCATACAGCAGAAGGTGCCTGAGGCTCCTTATTCCCCTTTCACCACTGTTCCTATATACACACTGAAATAGCTTTCCTAGTGAAGCTGTATTTCTGTTGATGATGAAACAGTAGAGCATGCCAAAATAGCATGGCAGATTCCTGCCATTAATGCTATGACATTTATTTCAAAGAGAACAGAAGGGAAGTGTGTTTTTCCAGCAAGAGACTTGCTCACTTTCCTTCTCACATTCTTTTGTTGTCCCAAGGACTGATGAAAAGAATGAATGGTACTAATGAAATCACTACTGCTTTATATAGGTACTGGGGGGGGGGAAGAGAGAAAAGGACCTTTTGAGGGGAAAAATTATGTGTCATTTTGTTTGCAATTCTGTTTTGCAAATAGCCATCTAGTTGTAATAGAATAGGTATATTAATTGAAGCAGGTTGAATTTATTGGCATGTTGCCTCAGGAAAGCAAGGAATGGTTTCTGATAATCATAAGGAAGCTAAGTTTTGTTTACATCTTCCTCCAGCCATTGTGCTTTGCTATCTATTGTGATTGCTATGAAAATGAAACTTCTAAAATGTTTTCTGCATTCATATATTTCAACAGAAGTGTCAACAGTGATGGCAGATTTGCTGATGAAGAGCAACAGTTTCCCTGGTGAGAAAAGATTAGTTTATTTCGTTCCCTACTCCAATTTGTCAATATTCGGAAAGCTTAGATGTCATTCCAGGACTTCTTTAGAAACGTAGGTGCCTTCAGTGTGGAAAAGTTTGGTGGCAAACAGTTCATTCCCATGTGGCCTGTTCTATCCTTGTTTAAATGAATGATTTCTATAAATAGCTGCAAAAGGATTAGCAGGTGCTGTAAAGGAGATATACTGTGCCCTGTTTTCTCTCACCGTTGCTGCCCTTATTAAATTGCCTGTTTGACAGTATCCTTGAGATGTATTCATCAACTGCTTCCATAAGACTAGTTCTCTTTCTTGTGCTTTTTTAGAGTTTTGGAATATTTCAATAGAAAATGATAAAAGCAGGGGACAAGTGAATCATAGATCCATACATAGAACAGGGTGGGTAGGAAGGGACCACTGGAAATCACTTCTGTCCGATTGCTTCAACTGCCTTCACATCTGTGCCCAAAATATACATTCCTTTTCTCTTCAAAGAAAAGGATCCCTACAGGGGAGAGAGATTTCTTTCCTGAAGGGAATACCCATTCTTTTCTGCTCTGGATGATTTTTGAAATGAATAACATGGCACAGATATTCGTTTGTTGTATGGTTTAGCTGGTTCTCCAGATTTTGTTTTTAAATTTTATTATATATATTGACAACTTCTGCTGTTCTCATAAAGATTGGGAATCAGGAAATGAATCTACTCCTAACTAATCTTTCTCTATTTCTGCCTCAGTTCCACTAGCTATTTGGACCACTAATTTAAGCAAGAAGCAATTGAGTGGTGGGAAAGCTTTCAGAGGTACAGTGTTTTCCAAAGAAAGTATGACACCTGCCCCTTCAAGAAGGTGCCTGGTTTTGTATAGGGTTAGGGGATACTGAGAGAACATGGGGAATAAAGAATTCTTTTTTCAAAACTTCTTATAAACTTCTACAGAAAAGTGTAACAGGTAGCTCTTACCTCTGGTCTCTTAGCTCATCAGAGAGATAGTGAAGTTCAGGTTCATTTGTACTGTGTACTCCAGAGAGAGGATAAGGTCATTGGTCTCCAAATTTGGGACATCTAGGTCTTAAGAGTCTTTACTTCCAGCTGAATTGTAATTCTGGAATGGTGAAGTGTGCCACACAAAGGGAAAACAAAGAGTTCCAATTCGGTCTAGGTAGGACTATAGTAAGAAGGCATTGAAATTTGTTTTCTGTTCAGAATTGCTATGCTTATGCAAGATTCAAGTCAGGAAGAAGATGCTGTGGTTTTTAGACTCAAATATATTTAGGCTGTTTTTAAAGGTATTTTTCATGGTTACAATTAGGCTGTTAGTTGTCTAATTGCTTAAAGATGCCCTGCCACAAATAGATATTGTTACTATTTTCTGTATTAGGGAGAAGATGCAAAGTCTGTGAAGAATGAAAAGGATAAGAATATAAGTTTTTCATCAGCCTTGCTTGTTCCTTTAAGCCATGCTCTTTAACATCTGTTTGAAGTTCTTCATCAACAGGCTGTATAAATAATGTTCTATTCTTTATCACTGGAGTTGTCATAAGTAATGGACTATGCCAGTGATTGTGCTTACAGAAGAATTGTTATATATATCTTCAGGATGACTCGGTGTAGTTGGCCTATTTGTCAACATATTTTTGCAAATTACGTTACCTTTCTCATATCAGTGGTATCAGTTATAGTCTTGATTATAGTGTTCACTCTCTTTTTTTTGTCTTTTCTTAGGGTGTTCTATATTATATAATTCTCTACAATTCCTGAAATAATTTTGGGGCATCTGTATTATCAGTTTTTCAATTATTTGTGTACTTTTTAGAGGTTTTGTAGTTGAGAAACAGGATTGATTAGAGGTTTAAATATTGGCTTAATACTTTATATCTCTTTTAGCTGTCTGCAAGTAATTTACTGTCTCCATTATTTTTTCTAAAAGCAAAATAGTCTTTAAAAACGGAGCTGTTATACTAGTTCTTTTTTATTCAAGGCACACCTATTGCTTGTTTCCAGATTGTGTTTGCATCTGTCTTGTTTGTCCCTCAGATGATGTAATGGATTCTGTGATAGCTGCACAAAATAGGGACACATTCTCTTAAGTGGCTCAATGAAGGTCAATTCTTTTGTCTAAAAAGTTAGAGTGCCTTTCAACTGCTAAGTTATGGGTCAGGAAGAAAACACTTGGCTTAAAACAATACCCACAAAAACATATTCCCTACTATTCAACTCATGAAAGAAAACACAAATAACTAATTCTGATGTCCTTTTGGCAACATAAAAGGTCTGGATAGTATAATGAAAAAGGCACGAAGGGATTAATGAAAAATGCAAATGTTAATTGGCATGTGGAAAAGTTAATTTCTATGAGAGTAAATGACAAAACAAAATACTAATTTTTCTCATTTTGCCAAAAGCTAAAACCAATTTCTATTAGTTGCTTTGGCAAAAATACTAGGATGTTGTTTATACTTCCTTTCAGAGTCTGCAGAGCAATGTCTTGTTGCTAACATCAGTAATTATAGAGTCAGAACTCTTGTTTGCTGATCACCAAACATGGTGGAAGAATCATGGTAGCAGGAGGCTTGTGATCTGATCAGGGTTCCTAAGCACTGTGTAAATGAACCTTCTCTTGATAACATAAGTTGCAGTTTGTCTCACTTGTTGCAGCTCCATCTCTGATTTCCTTTCTTTGCTGCTGACTCAGGGTCTGCTGCATTTGTCCTTAGTGCCCTAATTCCCAGGATCACCATTTAACTTTCCCTGGAGCTGCTATCCCTCTCTTTGAGACAGAGCTGCTGAGTCTGGCTGTGCCCTGATAAACTTGGTCTAGAGCCCTGTGGATCTTTGCACAGTGCTCCCCAGTGCTCCTGCCAAGAGGCCTGATGGGCAGTTCATGAGACCAGAGTTCTGAATAATTCAGGAAAAATGGTGCCTGGCAGTCAGTATGTAAACAACTCGTCCGATATGTCAGAGGGTTGTCCAGAGTAACCTCAGCAGGCTGGAGAAATGGTTTGGCAGGAACCTGATGTAATTTAACAAAGACAAGTACAAAGTCCTTCATCTGGGGAGGAGCAACTCCAGGCACCATTACATACTGGGGAGTCTCCAGCTGGGAGGCAGCTTTGCAGGAAAAGACCTGGGAGTCCTGGAGGTCACCAGGTTCATAGAACAGCTCAGGATGGGAGAGATCTTAAAAGATTATCTAGTCCAATCTTTTGTGGAAAAGGGAGTCTAGATGAGATTATCTAGCACCTTGTTGATTTGCATCTTGGAAAAACCTCTGTCACCCCTGGGCTGCTGGGACCAGTTGTAGGGTCTCCCATGCAACAGAGATATGAAAGAGCTGGAGAGAGTCCAGCTACTAAGATATGAAAGGAATCCTTTGTATGAGGAAAGGCTTAGAGACCTGGGACTGTTTAGCCTGGAGAAGAGAAGGCTTGGCAAGAATCTTATCAGTGCATATAGATATACCTGAAGGGAGGGTGCATTGTGACACTGTCAGTGATTGTGTGACAAGAGCTCTTTCTTCTCCCCCATGGCAGGCACTTGAAACAGGAAAAACTATTTACCTGTGACTGTTATTTTTAAGGATTTATTGGTTGCGTATACTTTTACAACACCTCCCTGCAGCTTTTCCCTTTGTAGTCCATATAGAATTTGTGAAACTTTGGTTGAAAGGAAAGTACACAACTGCTTAAATAGGCAAATGATCCTTATCAATAGAAGGCATTTCATCCTAGATACTGCTAGCAATAAAGATAAACCCAGATTATACGGTAGATGTAGTCACAGTCTGAATATATATGTCAGTAACATCTCAAAGAACAGTCTTTCTGAATGGCATATCTGTTTGAGGATTATCCACAATCAGGGGGGCTGAACTCTGATCTAGTCTGAAAGAACACCTTTGTGCCTGGTAGTCCTTTTGATACATTTGGCTTGCCTGAGCAGGCCCCCAGGATCTGCTTAGCATTGCTGTAAATCTGTTCTTCTTAACACTTAGTAAAATGTCGTGATTTTTGTGTATAGATGTCTCATGTCTGGCTTTCCAATGCACACAGCGTATGTTTGTGAAATCAGATGTTCAGTGCTTGTATTTATGTATAAACAGTCTGCATCTCTTACTTACTGCAGTGCCTAGACTGTTTTTAGAGCTTTGTGAAAAGTTAGAAATTGCTCTCCTACACTTTTGCAGACCTGAAAACAACGATATATCAAGGATCCAAAATAAAATTTATAAACATTTGAGTCACGTTTTTGGGTTTTAAGTAAACCAGAAAAAGGAAGTTGTGGGGGCTGAGAGGAGTGGAATGAAGGAAGATACTTTGGGGAGACATTGAGTGACTACAGGGGGGAAAATGGAAGACAAAAAGAAGAGGGGAAGGGAATGCAGCTGGGTGAAAAACCTGAAGGTAGAAACTGAAGGAGAACTGTAGGCAGGACACCCCAGTAACACCCTCAGTTTGCTGCAGGCATCTGAGAAGCTTTTTGGTCACTGTTGGAGTCCACCACTAAGCAAGACGGACTTTCAGCATGACCTATTATGACTTCTGTATATTTTTGTCACGTAAATGGCTAATGTACTTTGAGATCAAGTAGGACTGGGTTTGCTTACCTTGCCAAAATAAAGACAAAAAAGTGAAGGGCACTAAGGACAGACAATGAAACTATTCGGGGCTTAGATTTCTTACGAGGAAGGAAGTTAGAAGATAAGAACTGTGGTTCTGTAGATGTAGAAAAAGCTCTGCAGATATACATGTGTAGAAATTGTGTGCTCATAATTACAGTTTTCTGACTTAACAAAAAGGGCATCAAAGAAATAAAAAGACATTGAGAGGCAATAAACTTAAATGCCTTTAAAATAGATAGAATCCCACCCCAACTAAATATTACTTTACTTTAGCAAATGCTACTTAGCAGCCAGGCCAGTGCTTTATTGAGAGCACGTGGATAATCTTTTGCATCAGAGCAGCACAGTCTATGGCTTCTTTATCA